ATTTTCCATTAACACATTCGAGGCGAAGGCCATTTCGCCCAGAACTCACGTTCGTCGTTGTTTTTGGCATATTTTTAACCTTTTTTCTTCGTAATGATGTGTTAATTGTGTAAATATATACTAGCTAACTATAATAAATCGCAAAAAGAACGAAAAAATATGCGCGTGCTTCCGCAATACTGTACGAATGGCCGAAAAGAGGGGCTTCCGCGTGTACTCCCGGGAGTACACGCCGCCTCGAACGTTTTAAATGAGAGCATTGTCCTTATGCAGCTCCTTTATTTTGACATCGGTAGCTCTCATGCTGTAGCCGGAGTGGTAGAAGAAGAGTTTAAGAGAGCCAGTTTGATGTTCTACTTCTGTGCCAACGAGGTTTTGGGTGCAACTTTATTAGTGACCTAACGTTTCGACCAGATCGTCGTTCTCGGAGGATAAAACATAGCTCAAGAGTTTTAATTCGCCCTCAAAATCAAGAAACGCCTCGTCCCCCTAGCGTTTCCGACGGTACTCAAGGAGCAACAGATAATTTACGACAATGCGGAGGTTATACGAAGAAGGAAGCTGGAGACTATCTGAGAGAGCGTTTCGAGGGTCATTGCCGATGGTACCGGATTCCATTCTTGTCCGTGTTGCAGAAGAAGGAGTCAAGCCTGTACTAGTAATAAGGCTGCGTTTATACTTTGCGGCAGCGTAGCGTAGCGCTAGCGCTTCCAGCGTACGCCAGCGGCAGTGCCGAAGAGAGGATGCATATCGATCTAGCTTCACCAGCGTCACCAGCGGCACGCTAGCGTACGCCAGCGGCACGCTAGCGCACGCTGGCGTAGCGAGGGCACGGGAAGCATAGCTATCGATCTAGCTTCACCAGCGTTTCTCCAGCGTTTTCCCAGCGCTTGCAGCGACGGGGCTAGAGAGGGGCTAGAGAGTACTTGAAGGGAGCTTCTTTGTAGCCGTACATGGAAGAGGGAGCGCGGGGAGAGAGGCGGAATGTCATTTTAGCTATATTTGGCCTCAACTTCGCCACCCTAGGATTCCGCCTCGGCCTTGGTACACCGTTGAGATCGCCTGTGAGGCGACCTTGCCTAATTGGCTGCGCTGGCTGGTGCCTCTCACCAGATTTCCAGCTCAGTGAATATTATTGATAAATAGAAGAAAGGGGAAATTCAAGAGTTAGGAGAATCAAAGTCACTTAAAGGCTCAGAAACAGGACACTCTGAATGGAAAATGTCTGGTAAAAATGTGAAAGTAACTTAACCGACTTCACGGTCTGATACCTGGATTGAAGACTGAGTACTTAGCGAACTGATGCTAGAAGTCGCAGAACTTAATTAACTAGAGATCAACACGTTTCGCACATGCACTAGACACCTTGCTTTTGATTGCCATTGTAATCAGACCGGTCTCGGAGAGTCCAACTAAAGTGTCAACGTGAGAGAGCGAGAGGAATTAGCGATTGCCAGCACCTTTTCGTGTTTGTTGTCGCAGCATGATTTCAGGGCTATCACGGCGACTTTTCTCTGAGGGCTCCGGGCGAGAGTATAGGCTGTGCAGAGCGTAGTGTGCGTTATGTATCAGGTAGTAAGTGCTAGCGTCAACAGGCCGCGCAACCCGTTACCCTCGCACGCAACCACTCACAACGATTGGAATCTTCATGGACAATCTGACGCTCATTACGATCGGACACCTGACCGACTATCATCTGCCCATTCATCTCCATCAAAACAGTGTATGTTATATTCTGGATCTTTACAGACGACTTTACTAGCACGAACAAGGCACGCGCCATCTGTCCTTCAACCTATACGTCTGCAGCTTTACCGGAGAGAGGCGCGCGCGAGAGGGAGAGAGCGGGCTGTCCCACTAGCTTTGTTGCACTCGCTCCACTATTTGCAGGCACAACAAACGCATGGCGTCAGGTACGAGTAGATGGCCGGGGTGGCAGCTTGCTCTCTGCTGGCTGCAGAGAGAGAGGTGTACAGCGATGTGTACTTGAGGAATACAGAGCCTGATGAAATGTATCATGTTAATTGAAGTATTGGGATTTCAGTCCCTGGCGTATGCGTTGAGATGAGCATGTATATGGTACAAGAGGTGAGCCACTTATGGAGAAGGGCGGCGCTCGCACTGGCAAGGCAACTAGGTGCGAAGATGTGCGAGCCCTAAGAGACTGGGAGAGCTAGAGGAGAGCCGTGCGAGATGTGCCAGCCTAATTACTGACTTAGCTAAAGTTACACACCCGGCTCTGGCCTTCGCTGGGTCGACATCTATACTTTCGTGGTCGCTGACGGACGCTCGAAACGCTGATAGTCGCTGGTGGAGGCTGGAGGACGCTGCCGCAATGTGTGAACGTAGCTTTAAAGTCAGCCACTGCCTGCTCAAGCTGCCCTCTCGGTGCACTCTGATACATGACGTGGACTTGCCGCTTCAAACACTGCTGTGGGTTGGTCCCACCAGAAAATCCCTCTTCCACTCGCCTTCCCAGGGCACAGAATAACGTCGGTTGTCAAACTCACTATTCCAAAATTTTGTTTTAGCTTCTTGAATTTCGACCTCATTGTGACTCTGCTTCCACGTCAAGAGCTGCGGATAAAGCCTAAACAAAATATGTCGTTTGGGAAGCTTATGGCGCTACAAAAGCTACTTACATGTCTGAAAATGTGTAGAACCATGATTCCAGATCCATCTTCGGCTTAGCTGCTACGCGTTGATGCGCGTCAATCGCCATGTACGGAAGCGAGTATGCGTCCGGCACTGCGTACCTACAATTGCTTGCCTCCAATAGGATATGGGCTGTGGTTCTTTGAATAGTCCCACTACCTTATGTTCCTCCCATTTTTGACAGCTTCACCAAAATCGATCAGATAAAGTCGGACGGCTGACGCTGCGAGGCCGATACAAAAATTGGTGGGTTTTATATCTCGATGAACGTAATTCAGAGCGTGAAGTTCCTGAACCAACACATGAATAAAAGACATAAGCGTGAGATCTTTTCTATGTAGCCAGCCTATCTTGATCCCTGTGATGGGAGGGGGTGGAACATGAACAAGGCTGGCTCCACTAATGAATGAATGAATGGACGCGCAAGCAAGCTTTATAGAATCAGCCCTAACCATAAGCATGTGCAATCGCGGAGTTTGTCTTCAAGGGGTTCTTCCCAGCGCAACGTGAGGAAAGCATCTTCTCCCTTAGTAAATTCAGGGAGTTCACCCTAATCTCCCTCGCTGAGAGAGGTGTTTTGAGAACGTCCCTGAAAGGAGCGAGAAAGCATTTCCCAACCTCTATCGCTGAGAGTGCTTCTGCTGCTAAGTGGTAGACAGACGTGTGCCGTATACAACCTCTTAGATTTTCTCTGAGTTTTTCCAGATTTCTGTCAAGTAGGGTCATCACTGAAAATGCTTTCCCTTATTAAAGTAGAACTATACATGATTATGAGAAATCTTTCTCACCAATGTACGATCTATCACATACTCTACCACTATCGACAAGTCGAGGACAGCGCACGGCGTTAGCGGCCTTCAGCTCCTTCAAAATTGCTAGTTCTCTCTGTAATTAAACGCTTCACTCCCACAGGCGCGATCGCTGCCGCTTTGGTTGCGTTCATACTTTGCGGAACCGTCCACCAGCGATCATTGGCGTTTCGAGCGTCGGTCAGCCACAGCGACTAGAAAAGTATGGATATCGATCTAATGTTGACAGCCTGCCAGCGTCCTTCAGCGTTTCGAGGGGTAGGGGGTAAAGGTATTGATCTAAAACTCGCGAGTCTTACTCCATTCGCTACGTTTCCTGGCAGCGAAATACTTTGCGTGTTCCTTTGGGGGGGTTGTATCATGTATCATGAGATGAGCAATCTCTCGAAAGTTCGCAGTGAGCGACCCCACGTTCAAGCAGGAGTCGAACTAGCTTCTGTGCTCGAGGTCGTTCCATCTTCTCGGTGCGCCTTTGCCATACTGACCGCAGAACCGGGTGAGGGTTTGCCGACCAGTTCTTGGTGACGTCCTAGCATTAACACCGAAAACATTTGCTACATTCAGTCACAATTGTTGGGAGAGGATTCTCAATCAGGTGGGCTGTCAACCCGGGCTGTAGCTGGTATCGTCAACCTTCTTGCAGATTTTACAAGAGTGCGATATGCTGCCGACCTCGCACGGACTCGAGTCCGCCTGGCTCAGATGCAGGCGATCGAGTCATGGCTCAAAATTTTTCTTACATACATTACAAGACACTAAAATACCTTGCACTATACTATATCAGAGTGAAGGCATAAGGCTACACTGCTGATCACTCTTGTGCATGATGAGGAAGAAAAACTAACTGCACAGAAGTGTCGAAAATTGGGCAGGTGTTATGTGTCAGTGGTTAGGAATTGCCGTGCGTGCTAAATTAGTTGGAAACAGTAGGTGCTGACTAGATCCCCTGCGAACCGTGTGCACAGGACATGATGTTCTTTCGTTGGCAAAATTCTCTGAACATTACCAAAATGAATACTTTAAGCCGCTGCTCGGTGCACTTCTGAAGGGTCCAGAACAACCACCATGGTTCAAGGTAAAACTATTCGAAGACATAAGACCCGATTTGGTCCCACCATCAGGCAAAGGGACTTTTGAGGTGGGCCGAGTTCTATAGATTCACTTGTTTCAGAGAGCATGCCGTCACAGGCAGCATACCGTCATCAAGCTTCCAGATTCTGTTCAGGGTCATGAAATTGATTTACTCGATAACTTCATGAGAGGAACAGAAGAACTTCAAGCTGGCGATCTTGTAATTGTAGATGATAAGTGCGTTAATGTTACACCGCTTGTAAAAGCGAAGTTCTCGCTGGTATTTTGCGCGGCATATAAGGTTGCGGTCATACTTTGCGGCATCGTTCACCAGCGACCACTAGCGTCCACCAGCGGCCATCAGCTCTCGAGGGACTAAGAAAGTATGAATATCGAATCCAACGTCTACTAGCGTCTACCAGACGTCACTGGATTCCGCAGTGACACATTAGGCGTCTCGATGGACTAGGAAGCTCATGATTATGCATCCAGCGATCCACCAGCGACCAAACAAGCGTCCAGCAGCGTCCGGGAGTACGGTATGGTGTAATAGTGCTGTGCTGTTGCCAACGCCAGGATTTCGCGAAGCCTAATCAGGTCTCCTCCCTCCCACTTCCCCATACTTTAACAGCAGGCTGCTACCCTCCAGCTTCTCCATACTCTCTACTCCTGGTCGCTAACTGACGCTCGAAACGCAGATGGTCGCTGGCGGATTGTGGTCTCCACTGGTGTCCGCTACAGCCAATAGTGTGAACGCAGCCGTACTTCACAGGAAATAGTACACCAGTGAAGAGAGCGCGCAAGTACGCCTGATTCCGCTCATGCCAGCGTTGAAGCTGCTGGCGGGATATGTCCCCTGGGTTTGGAATCGTCTCCCACCTCTTCATGAACACTTCACTTCCGTTGGGATCCTCTGACATATACAGCTGACGTCATCGGTGGGCCGGGTCAAGAGGGATGAGCCCACTCGCGGCGTTTTATCACTGTCACTAACAACTGTTTCCGTAGAAAAGGTAGACAGGCAGGCGGCCACCGTCCATTCTTGGTTACCGCCCCGATTGATTGCGACAATATCCAACTTTTCCATTTAGTCTTGACGAAGAATCTCGTGAATATTCACGATATGAAGTACTGATGAAATATAATGAAGGTCGCTATTCTGCTGTTTATATAGTGGCTAAACAAACTTGCACCGAGTAAGATCACCTTATTTTTCTCCTGGAGCAGAAGTGGATTCTGACACTTTCTTCAGCAACGAAGAAGCCCTCGACAATACACTATACGCCATGAA